GAGCAAATAGAGGAAATGCATAATGGAATTTCAGTGTCTCTCAGACTACATACTTTCTGAAACCATCGATGTTGGATGAACCTTTGAAACGAATTATCCTGAGAAAATCTTTAAACCTTAAACCAAAAATTTCCCTGATGCTTTCTTAAAACCAAACAATCCTTTACCTCAGCTAGTAAAGAATGTCTGTCTTGAACACTGTGCTATTTAAAAATCTAGAAGGTATCAAATTGACAGTAGCACCTGAAAGATTAGATAGGAAACTTAGAGGCAGTGAATTTATATAAGGTTAACATGGAGAGACAACTCAGGAAAGGAGGGCTAGACTGGTTGCACAACTTGAAGAATGTAATCAGTGATCCTGAAGCAAACGTACAGAAATTGTTAAACACGAGTACAGGCTGTTGTGTATTTTCAACAATAATTTAAAAAGTAAAGCACATGCATCAAAAAGAATATATAAATATCTCCTATTACATAAGACATATGACAATAAGATATGTAACAAAATGCTTGAACAGTCATTTTTCAAGAGAAGAGAGTCAATAAGTGTATGACATAAGCATATCCAACACCCCTGGCCCACACTGTGGTTGCTCGGTGCCATTGACTCAGCGACCCTAGGTACAGCAGAAGAAAACATCGCCCAGTCCCGTGCCATCCTCACCCTTGCTGCTCTGCGGGAGCCCATTGTTGCAGATACCGGCCCTCCATCTCACCGGGGTGATTATCTGTTTTACCAAGCAGGATGTCCTTCTCCAGGGACTTGTCCCTCCTGAGACTAGGTCCAAAGTCTGGGAGATGAAGTCTCGGCACCCTTCCTTTAAGGAGCACTATGGCGATACTTGCCCTAGCCACGCTTGTTTGTTTTTCTAGCAGCCCATTCAATCTTCTTGGCAACACCATAATTCAAATGCATCTCTGGTCTTTCTGATTCATTGTCCAGCAATCCATGCGCATGAAGTGATAGAAAATGTCATTGCTTTGGTCAGGCATACCTTACTCTGACTTTTCCACACTTTAGAGAGGCTTCCTGCAGCAGATTGGCCCAGTATAAGACGTCATTTGACTTCGGGACTATTGCTGCCATTGGTGCTGATTGCAGAGCTAAGTAAAAGGAACACTTTGGCAGCTTCATCTTTTCTCCATTGATCGTGATGTTGCCTAGTGGTTCAGTTGTAAAGATACTTCTCTACTTTATACTGCAGTGTAATCCACACTGATGGCTGTAGTCTTTGATCTTCGCTAGTAATGTTTCAAGTCATGTTCCACATAGGAATATAAAATAATAACAAAATGACATACTGTACAATCTGCATAATAGCAAATATGAAAATGAGTGATAAGCAAAAATGAAAGAGATTGAGACTAAACACCTGGGTTAACACACTCAGCCTCCATCTCGGCTTCTTATGGGTTCCTTTTAATCGCATTTTCCCCAATGTAAATGGAGAAGACCAAAAAAAATGTGAATCACCAATTTCCTAGGAAATGATTGTGCTGTTATCATCATTCCTCCAAGGGCGTGTGAAGTCTCCTAGTGAATGCTGTCAACAAGAAAGTCTTCCCTCAAGGGGGGACAAGAGCAAATGAAGCAATTATTTATTGTATATTCTTAATTTGGAGCTTTGGGGCCTTTCCTCTGGAGGTCTTTTCTGTGGTTTATAAAGTTAGCTTCCATCCCTATTCCTCAAGAGCTATGAACACGAACGTCTGAGTAGATTTACTTTGTTTGGTCGTGAATAGGCAACTCGTCTCCCTACTGCAAGGTTTCTTTGATCCTCCGACACTCTCCCGGCTTTATGATTGTGGAGCTTCTTGAAAGGCATGGAAGAACCATCCCATGCCTTGTAGGTGAAGGTATCTACACCTAAGCGCCCAAGTTAGAGCAGGAATAGAATTTATATTCAGTCATGTAAGTTTCTGTGTGTGGGAGTCTAGGTGTGCATGAGTTCAGTGTGTGCTAGTGATTGATCGCCTGGGTCTACTCTTCCTCAAGCAGGACTAGGACAGATATGTGCCTATGCAGACTACGTTATCTGGAACCGACCATGGACTAAATTTTCAGAAGATAGCATTAGCCCAAAGCTCCTATTTTCTTTTCATCCCCGCTTGAGTTTGTGAGTTTTCTTCCAATGTTTATTCCCAATCTCTTCAATGATCTTCACCCTCTCTGTCATAGTTCAGGTACACACAGCCCTTAATTTCTACCTAAGCTATTGCAATGCTTAAGAAAAAAAGCAAAAGATAATCCAAATCCACTGCTGTCAAGTTAATTCCAACTCACAGGAACGCTGGAGGACAGAGTGGAACTGCCTTACAGGGTTTCCAAGACTACATCTCCACTGAGCAGACTGCCGCATCTGTTCCCACCGAGCAACCGGTGAGTTCAAAGCATTGATTTTTGGTAAGCAGCTGAGCACTTTCATCACGGCACCACTAGGAACTGTGGAAAGAGTTTGAACTATGGAAAGAGCCCTCTATTGATGGAGTAGGCTTGCATTTTTATTCTCAGTTCTCTATCTACTAGGCAACACCATATTTACAAAATTTTAATTGCTAACTTGATTAACATCTTCATTAGTGCTTGGCTGACCTGAAAATAGAACAGAAATTATGACAGAATGAAAAAAACCCCAACTTCACTCACTGCCATCAAGCCTATTCTGATTGAACCGGACTCGGTAGGACAGTGTAGAGCTGCGTCTGTGGGTTCTGAGGCTTTACATTTTCATGACAGCAGAACCCATTTTCTTTCTGCAGAGGTGCAGCTGGTAGGTTCCAAGTGCTGAGCTTGCAAGTAGCAGCTAACTCATAACTCCCTTCATCACGAGGGCTGAGCATGGCAGAATCACTATCTAGAGAATCCTCCTCGATGATTCTTATGCGCCTGCTCCTGCATTTTCTCTGTTTCTCAAACACTCGGGCTCCCTTTTCCTTCAAGTTCTTACACTCACCTAGGCTGCACATTTCTAGACCCTTCCTGTTTTGTGATCTTTCATAGTTTATTTTAAAGAGATTTTCTCACCACCTTAATTTTTTAAAATTTAACAATGAGTATTCACATACCTGGGAGAAATATGAGGCTTTCTACTCCCATAAACAGTTACTGTCTTGGAAACCCCCAGGGCAGTTCTAGGCTGTCCTCTGGGTTGCTATTTAGTTTGATTTCTTTTATTCATAATCTAGGAGTCAATTTAAGTATTTAGCTGCTGGTCAAAAGATCAGCTGCTCAAATCCCCCAGCCACCCAGCAGGAGAAAGATGAGGTAGTCCGCTTTTATAAAGCCTACAGCCTATAAAGACTACAGCCTTGGGAAGCCTATGAGGCAGTTCTACTCCATTCTATAGGGTCTCTTATCAATTAAAACCTACTCAATGGCAACAGGCTTTGGTCTCATACCCTGCTATTCCCTTTTTAGGACATTATCCTACAGATGTATTTCCCATGGACAAAATGACATACGTTCCATGTTACCCACTGTAGGAGCCCTGGTGGTGTAGTGGTTATGTGCTGGGCTGAAATCCTCATGGTTGGCAGTTCAAAACCACTATCAGCTCTGCAGGAGAAAGACTGGGCTTTCTACGCCTGTAAATAGTTACAGTCTCGGAACCCCACAGGGTGTCATTATGAGTCAACATTGACTTGATGGCAGTGAGTTTGGGTTTTGGGGTGCGCATTATAATATTCCTGGGAAGAGCCACATTAGAAATGTCCTAAATGTCAATCGGATAGCAAATTTGTACTTTTGTAGTGACATACTGAATACGATTAGCACGATGAGAACTAGCAAACATGAATGTGCATTTGTTAATAATGTTCACGTGAACATGACTAAAATGAACTGATTTGAAGAAAAAACAAAGAGAAATGAGATTCTTCATAGAATACAAGGAGTGTTCCAAGTGTAAGGAAAAATCAGCTGTGCGTCACTGGCATAACACTTGGATATGATCAGTTTAAAAGGATAAATTGCTATTTGGTACGTTAGGCTAGACAAACAACGACAAAGAGCTGCTTCTTGGACCATTACAGGGAGTGGCTGGAAGAGCCAATGTCTAGGCTGGCTTTTTGGAAATTTACACAAGAGGGATCTGGCTTGAACTGAGAAGATAAGTGAGTTCAGAACCCGGAAGAGACATGAATGAGTCTTTCTTTTTGATGCCCCAGAAACATTCCTTTAGGAAGAATCATGGTGGACTGGAAAAGTGAGAAGAAATTTTGCTGAAGGAAATATTGATGGCTATATTACAAGGTAGGTCACCAGATTTTCTTTTAATGGACCCAAGTTCCTAATGGTAATGACCTTCTCAAGATAAGTGACAGATGAAGTGTCTCACAAGCAGTCAAGTCCTGATTCTGGAAGAGCTGGACTAGCCCACTGGACCTTTAATTTTGATCCAGCTCACGGAGATAAAGGAGCACCAGTGGCATAGTAGTTATGAGCTGGGCTGTTAACTGGTAGGTCAAGCTGTTCAAAATCGCAAGCTGCTCTGTGGGAGAAAGACATGACTTTCCACTTCCTTAAAGATTTGCAGTCTTGGAAACCCACAGAAGCAGTTCTACCCTGCCTGATAGGGTAGGAGTCAAATAGACCTAATGGCAGTGAGTTTGGGTTTTTGGAGTTCATGGAAAATAGGCATTAGCCATGTACGATGTGTGAGAAATACAGGTCGAGAGAGAGCAGCAGATCAATCAATTGGAGACCCTGTGGTAGTCATGGGCTCCTCAAGTTTGAATGAGGTCTGGTGTGGTAAGTCATTTTGAGGCCTCACGATTTCCTTAAAAGAGGTTATATTGATTTATAGATAGTCACATAGTAACCTAATAACCCAACTTTGGACCATTGCTGATCCAAATGAGGGGAGGAAAAATGCATGATACATTCAGGTGAAGATTCAATCACTAAATGGTTCAAAACCATGTTTCATTATGTAGTAGTCATTCACAATTATTCTTTATTCTTTCATTTTTTCCATCTCCCCTGTGAAGCAAAAGAGAAACACAGAATGAGGAGGGAGAACCAGAGCAGCGTGTCGGAATTCCTCCTCCTGGGGCTCCCCATCCGGCCAGAGCAGCAGGGCGTGTTCTTCGCTCTCTTCCTGGGCATGTACCTCACCACAGTGCTGGGGAACCTGCTTATCATCCTGCTCATCAGGCTGGACTCTCGCCTGCACACCCCCATGTACTTCTTCCTCAGCCACTTGGCCTTCACCGACATCTCTTTCTCATCAGTCACAGCACCAAAGATGCTGGTGAACATGCAGACCCAGAGTCAAGCCATCTCATATGCGGGATGCATTTCCCAGGTGTATTTTTTCTTATTATTTGGAGATATCGACAGCTTACTTCTTACCTCCATGGCCTATGACAGGTATGTAGCCATTTGTCACCCCCTCCACTACACCACCATCATGAGCCAGAGTCTCTGTTTCTTACTAGTAATTCTGTCTTGGGCCCAATCCTTTGCCAGTGCTCTATTGCACACCCTGCTCCTGGCCCGTCTCTCTTTCTGTGGAGCAAACACTCTCCCCCACTTCTTCTGTGACCTCTCTGCCTTACTTAAGTTGTCCAGCTCGGACACCACAACCAATGAGCTCGTCATCCTCACTGTAGGAGTGGTCATTACCCTTCCTTTCATATGCATCCTGATTTCGTATGGCCGAATTGGGGCCACCGTCCTGAGAGTGCCCTCAACCAAGGGGATCTGCAAAGCCTTGTCCACCTGTGGCTCCCACCTCTCGGTGGTGTCTCTGTACTATGGAGCAATTATCGGATTGTACTTTTTCCCCTCATCCGATGATTCCAATGACAAGGATGTCATTGTGGCTGTGTTGTATACACTGGTTACTCCCATGCTAAATCCCTTTATCTACAGTCTGAGGAATCAGGACATGAAAGGAGCTCTGGGAAATATACTCCGTAGAAGAACATTTTCACCATGATGAACATCTTTCTCTATTAATGTGTATCTTTTTTTCTTAGTAAACCTTGAAGGTATACTCTTTCTCCATGATCTCTATCTCAACCTGGACTTAGTTTCTTCTCTATTGTTTCTTTTTTTGCTTTGAAGAGCCATGAGGAAAGATGTATTAAAATGCATGCCAGGAAACTATTCTTTCCTAAAGTATTTTTGTGTGACTTGTCCTATGAATATTTTAAATATTTATGTATTCACAGCTTGACATTGTTTCTTAAAATACTATCTTTATAAATTTATAGATTTCCTTTGTCAAGATACCAAAAGGATGGGTACAGGTCCCGGGCAAAAACTCAATTTTTGTTGGCTTACACTATCCTAGGATAGCCATCCGAGTGTAAAAATGGTAGTAGAATTGAGGTTGTAAAGTGAACTCTCCTGGATGATTAGTCCATCGTGATAAAGACATTCAGTTCTTTTAGGGCATTCTACTGAGGATGGCTAGGCAGCAGATTACAAAACTCAGAAAACAGGTAAACAAGCGGCCATCTAGCTCAGAAGCAACAAAGCCCACATGGAAGAAGCACACCAGCCTGTGTGATCACGAGGTGTTGAAGGGATCAGGTATCAGG